TCAATAAGACACAGAAGCATTAGCTATAAAGAAAAGGATTGATAAATTTGACTACAATGAAATGAAAAACTACTATCATTAAAAGACCATTAAAAAAGATGAAAAAGATCACAGAGTGGGAGAAGATACTGTCTATTCTGCTACAATGTTTGTTTCTGTAACACAAGTTCATATATGGTTGGTAAGTAGGTGGGATAATGATGTCAATTTAATGGAGGTAATATTGGTTCTTATTCCATTTTCCCCAGCAAGCAAATGTTTTGTGTCATCAAGTAGCAGCAAGTAAACAGAATATACAAACATAGTTGAATGTTGCATGCTCTGTGCATAATGCCCATTCACCTCGATTTGGCCTCTTTTCTCAATTTGGACATGTACTTTATCTTAATCATTTATTGCACCTTTTGCCTTATCTTCATTATTCAGTAGCTCCAACCGTCCTTATACCCCTTTCTGTCAAGCTATCTTTTCTTTTTTTAAAATTGGTACTTAAAGACAAAATATTTTATTTACACTGGTATTTTTATCAGGAATTTAAAATATCTTTTAAGCTGTCTTAGCATTTTTAATCAGGGTTGTTACTGATTTTGCTAGGCTCTGGTTACAAAGTTGCAATAGGTTTTGAGAAATCAACCCTGACCCTATTTTCTCAGTAATCTCCACTATTTGGGGAACACGATTTTGCAGAAAGTACTGTTTCTAGAAAGCATTTTTTAAAAAAGATTTATTTATTTGTTTTAGAGAGAAAGCACGAGTGGGAGGGGCAGAGGGAAAGGGAGAGAGAATCTTAAGCAGACTATGCTGAGCACAGAGCCCGCCGTGGGGCTGGAGACCATGACCCAAGTCAAAACCAGTAGTCGGATGCCCAACCGACTGTGCCACCCAGGCTCCCCCTTATTTCACATTTTTGCAGAAATTTCCCCCTTTGCAACATATATATCTGACAAAGGACTGCAGTGCTTTATCAGTAGTAAGACACAGTTATTTCACATGTTAGCCTCTCTACAATTGGATTGTATCTTACAGTAGATGGAATCTTTTGATTTTAATTGCCAGTTTTTTTTTTCTTTTTTAGTGATAAAATAGTGGTGCATTTTGGAAGCTGTTGATTACTTAGATTTGATGAAGTACTGTAGTAAAAAACTACAAGTCAAGTTTTAGAAGATAGGCAACCCAACAGAGAAGTGGCAAAAGCCTTGAACAGTCACTTCACACCAGAAGAAATCTCTATGGCTAGTAAATATTTGAAAAAGAATGTGTGATCTCATAAATCAGTTGCACATTAAATGCACAGTGAGATGCCTTCTCATGTTGGCAGAAGTTTAAAAACCTGACTACAAGTGTTAATGTGGACATAAAAGGATGCATATGGCATGATTCCGTTCATATGAAATTACAAAAGAGGCAAAACTAAGCTTTGTTGCTTAGGAATGCATTACGTAGTTGGTAAAAAAGAAAAAATTTTTTTAAAGAAGAAAGGAAATCATCACAAATGTCAGGAAGGTGGGTACTTTTGGGGGTGGGGGGAAGGAGAGAGTTATGATTGGAGGCGTACAAGGGGGCTTTTGGTCTCCTGGTGAAACTGTTTCTTCACTTGGATGGGTTTGCTTTATTATTACTTGTCAAACTTTACATATATGTCTTATGTACCTGTATGTATATTTCAGAATAAAACAAAAGAGGGGAATGATCAGTATATCAAATGTTGTTGTTAGGTCAGGTAATAAGAGGACTGAGACTTGAGCATTGGGTTAAGCAAAGTGGAGACTCCTGATGAACACAACAGATTGTCTCACAGCAGATTGTCTCAGTGGAATGGTTGGGGCAGTGATCTAATTGGAATGGGCTCAAGAGACAGAAGAGAGGAGTTGGGAGACTGTGAGTAAACAGAACTTGGAGGAATTTTTATGTAAAAAGAAATATAGTAGGGACTAGAGGTGATAGAGAAAGCTTTACATTAAATATATAGAGTATCAGGAAAATATCAATATAAATTTTCTGGAATGCTGAAGGCAATAGGGTAGGGTAGATGAAAGGAGACAACTTTTTATGTGTATGGGATTACACATTTTTGGAGAGAGGATGTGAAAATTTGTAATACCTATATTTGTAGAGAAGTAACATTAAAGCTCCTTTTTAAGTCTTGGAAATATATATATGTGTCACACATGACATTTCATATCTACTCATGGAAAGAATCATGAACATCACCTTTGCTTAACACCACTTTGCAAAAAGAGAATGAAGCACAGAGGGATTAAGTGCTTGCTTAAAATTGTATCATTACTAACAATCCCAGACTAAAACACAGAGTATTTCCTGCCCCTTGGATCAGTGCTCTTTTTATAGTATTATCTATAATATGGTTTGCTCTTAAATTGGGTTTTTCAGGTTTTATATAATCAGTATATTTTATAGTAGAGTTTATTTGGATAATATTTCAATTAGCCTTTGCTGCATAACAAATCACCCTAGAACTCAATGGCTTAAAATAACCGTCATGTATTATTTCTCATGATTCCACGAGTTAGATGAGCTCAACGGGGACCACTTATGTGGCTGCAGTCATTGGCACCTCCACTGGGGCTGGAGGGGCTAAGATGGCCTCACTCACATGTCTAGAACCTTGATGCTGTTTGTTGGCTGGGGCTCTCTCATCATAGTGTAACCTGGACTTCCATACTTGGTGGTGGAACCATTCCAAGAAAGCAAAAATGGAAGTCTAGACTCCTGAACTTGTACAACATCACATCCTCCACATTAAATTTTTCAAAACAAATCATAAATCCAGTCCAGATTTCAGAGGTGAAGCAGTAGGCCGCCCCATCTCTTGATGAGAGGAGGTACAAAATATTGTGGCCACGTTTTTCTATCACAGATAACTATAAATGTTAAATTTAATCATTAAATTTATTTTCCAATGTTAATTTTTAGTTAATATGGAGCTAAAAGCTGTTGATTTGGGGAATCTAACAATGTAGTTTAGCCAATGCATGAGAAAACAAAAATTTGACTGACAAAAATATTTTAACAAAAAAAGTTATGTTTTCCAGCTTTTTTATCCTCTGTGATATAAAACAGATAAAGAAATGCTCATTTTAAAATAAAAAGTTGGGTAAGAACAAGTGGGAAACTTACTGAATATACTTTGTTGCTTGTAGTATTGCCTAAATCATTTTCTGAGATTGTTACCATTAATGTTTTATTATCACCTTTGTGGATTTTTTTCATGTTACAGAATATAATAGAATGTAATACAACTAAAAAGTAAGAGTAATTAATAATCTTCCATTAATTATAATAATAGTATATTTCCAGGTACTGTGCTAATTGTATTTGTGTAAAATTTCACATAATTTACTTGACCACTGTCTATATCGAGTACCTACTATGATTCTTTCACTGTGTTAAGACTTGGGACTATTAGTTTGAACCATGTAGACATGATTCCTTCATGTTCCATCCCAGGTGGGAATCAGGGAAGGTCCTCTAAAGAAGCTCCTTAAGCCAGGATGTAAAGGATGAGTAGATGTTAGCTGAGTTAAGAGTGGGAAAGGGAAGAGGAAGTCTTCCAGGGAAAGGGATGACTTGGAGAAAGGCCTTGTGGAGGTAAGCAAGTGCAAGGAACATTAAAAGAACTAAAAAAACAAAACAAAACTATTATGGTTAAAGCCTAGAATGTTAAAGGGGTAAGGCAAAAAAGAACCTGAAGAGGATTATTATTGCTACAGATCATGGGAAACCTTTGATAGATTTAGAGGGTTTTTGCTCAGATGATTGTTTTAGAGATGTCACTGGCTGCGGTCTAGGTAAGGGGCATAGCCAGGCAGAAGTAAGGGTTGACCCTATGAGACCAACAAAACAGACCATAGATAGTGATATGAATTAGGTGAGTGTGAGAATGAAGAAAAGTGTATAAATCCTAGAGGTATTGAGGAGATGGAATCAACCAGATTTACTGACCAGATTTGGAATAGTGGGAGGAACCCAAGATGGCGGACTCTCTGCCCTCTGGCTTGGAGCGCCATTAATGACTAGGGAGTATAAGTGGAAGAAAAGATCTGGGAAGGGATTCTTGTGCAGGATTTGCTGCAATATCCCAACTCTGTTTCGAGGCTAAATACTTGGGTCTCTTTTTTGTATTCTCTACTATTTGAAATAATTTTTCTAGTATCAGTTCACAGAAACGTTGATTCATATTCAGTAAAATTCAGTCCAATGTAGCAATGCTGCCATACCTGAATTTATACTTTGATCTAAAAGATTTTACTTTAGTGTGAATTCCTTGATAGGAATTTACTATTCTGTTGCCATAGTGTATTTCATTAAACAGTGTACTTCTTAAATTTTTGAAATTAAAGAGAATAATGGCTGAGAAGCAATATGTGAATACCTATCTTAAGCCTTAAGTCCTTTATTCATTAAACAAATAATTTCATAATATTTGTCCAAATTTTAAAACTAAAGTGCATTAAAGGAACTTTTAAAAATTGTTTCTCTCTTCACTTATACTAGGGAAGAAAAATACATAAGGTAGCTTGATAAAAATGAAATCTTGTATACACCTGAAATTAATATTGTGTGTCAACTGTACTTCAATTAAAAAAAAAAAAAATAACCATGTCCCCCAAAATATGAGGTCTTATCATTGGTAGATTTATCTTTCCTTCAGATGTTAAGTAGTGATAATTGAGATAAAAGAATGAATTGTTATGTCTTAGAAAGTTAAGCTTCCTTTGACACTAGAACTCTTTTTAGTCTTTGTGGTTTGAATTTCATAGCTATCTGTAGATTATATTAAGGTGTATTTAGTCATCCTACATTATTGTCCTATTTTCACCTAAAAATGTTGCCTAAAATTTTCTGGTTGTCTTTCTAGAAGGTACATATATTCAGTAGTGTGTTTCTCCCATGTGTTCTCTATAGACTGTATTTTCTATTCTCAATATTTTGTAAGTTTAAAAGCAACCTATTTTTTTTTCTTGTTTTTTTTCCCTTAGGCACTACAAGGGCCCCCAGGGATGGGGAAGTACCAGGGGTGGACTATAATTTCATTTCTGTTGAACAGTTCAAAGCACTGGAAGAGAGTGGAGCATTATTAGAAAGTGGAACGTATGACGGTATGTCCCCAAATATTGACAACAGCAGCAACCCAGAGAACTATCTGAATGGCTGGAATTACTTCAAAGGGAAATTGATCAGTAAAATACCATTTTTTTTTTAAAGTTGTTTTCTGTTGGTCTTTGGGAAAGTTTTCTTTTGGTTAGCCTGTTTGTAATTTACTACCTAAAATGGGATTAAGTAATTAAGCAGAAGCGTTCCATCATATTATAAAGCTGATTGTGAAGAATATACTGAAATCCTTCAAAACAGCCAGTTTGCATATTTTGTAGTAATTCATATTCATCATATGAACTCAACAAGTGTTTGTTGTTTGCTTTCTATTTGTGGTTAGGAATCCAAATGCTGTGCACTTAAAAAAATCTATAGCTTGGCACTCTTGGAGAAAAGAGAATGTAGATTGGGGGGAAAACAACAAAAATGGAATAATTGGTTTTCTTTTCATACCTCTTCTCTACCCACTTGTTTCTAGGAAGTAGAGACTTAAGATCAGTTTCAATTTTTAAATGATGCTATGTTCCCTCTTTTGTTCTCCCTTACCTGACACTCTTCACTGGCAAGCTTGTCCACTCCCATCCATGCTCTACTTCTCCATCATTGCTTTCTCATGCTGTTATAGTTGCCTTTTTCACAAGTTTGGTGAAAGCCGCATCATGTCTTAGTAGTATCTTCAGTGCCTAGAGATGGTGTTCAGTGAACACTAACCTTGAATTCAACATATCCAAGTATGCATTGATGTTCTCTCCAAAAGAATAATTCTTTGTAATTTCTCTCTTTAGCTATACCGTGGGCTCAAAATGGTGGAATCATCATTTACTCCCTCCTCTTCCTTAGAGTTTCCATCTGTCTGTCACCGAATCTAGACCTTTCTTCCTTTGTAACAGCTTTCAGGATGCGTTTCTTTTCACTCTCACACCACCTCGTAGACTCTGGACAAGCTCATGTCTGGGCTAGTGCAGCTGTTTCTTCCCCCTGTCTAACCCAGCTGCCCACTGCTCTCATGCTTGTCTTCCTCCGCTGCTGCTCTGCTTGTGTCTCCTCTTCGGAGTCTTCTGTGATTTCATTTTTGCCTGCTCAGTTTGCCCCAGCTGTGCTTTCTGGGCTTCGCTCCCACAACGCGTTAATTCATTCAGCAAACCATTTATTAAGTACCTACAATGTGCTAGAGATACTCTGGTGAACAATACTGAAATGGTACTGCCTTAATAAATCCTATATCCGAGTAGGAAAAGTAGTCAGAAAACAAGCAAAATCACTATAAAAGGAGACGTTATGAAGGAAACAAAAATAAAAGCTTTAAAGAAAAGAGTAGAAATGTCTTATTTAGATAAAGTGGCCAGTGAAGACTTCTGAGAGGAAATGACCACTACTTATTTTTTATTTTGAGGCCAATAGCCTGGCCTCATTCACCTCCCTCTTAGAGGCAACCATTCGGATGTGTTTAATATGTATGCTTTTGTTCATATGCATTCTCGCAAAATGTGTCTTCTGTGCATGCATGTATTATTTGCATCTGGACTGTATTCTATATCTCCTTCAGTTTTTAAGTGTTCTCAGTTATTTCAGTGTTTTTTTAGATTCATCCATGTCGCTGCCCTATATTTACATGTAATTCACTGCTTTTTTAACCACTGCACAGCGCTCCATATTGTGCATTTACATGTAATTGCACAGTGATCCACTGCATTCTACACCACTGCACAGTGATCCACTGCATTCTACTTAACCCCCCTTCTAGTAATTGACTTCCAGATTGCTTCCAGCACCCCCTCACCACAGATAGAGCTGCAGCATCCTCTTTTTCTAGAGGGTGTGTGTGAGGATGTCTGTGGCACATATACCCAGGGGCAGAACTGTCGGGCTATAAGGTCTGCAGGTACTTAATCTGATGAAGGAGTCGAGGCAGCTCTGCAGCTGCTTTCCTGCCAGCCATGCTGGAGGGGTTGGTTCCTATAGCAGCTAGAGTAAGGATTCCACGTCCTCACCGTCCAGCTGTATCATTTTGCCAATCTGATGGTTGGTAGAATTGGGATCTCCTTTTAATTCTAGCTTCTCTGGTTGTCAGAGAGTTGGAATATCTTTTTATATGCTTGTTAGTGTTTTGGACTTCTGCAAATTGTCTTTTCATTTGTACTGTACATTTTTTCAAAAGTGGGCTCTTAATCCACATTCCAGTTTGTGGACATTCCTTAGATATTTAGATATCTATTTAGACATTAATTCCTTACTGGATATAGATATTTTCTCCCGTTCTGTCACTTAATTATGCTTGTCCCTGTGTTTCTTCGTTAAGCAGAAATCCTTAGTTTTTGTATGTCAGATTTATCACTGTTTTTCTTAGGGTTTGTGCTTTTGAAGTTTTGTTTAAGAAGTCCTTCTCTGTCCTTAGATCACAAAGACATTCTCCCTCATTTTCCTCTGTTAAGTATAAGAACATGGGCAATGACAAAGTGTCATATTACATATTATAATTGCTGTGTGCTAAATTTAAAGGAAATGCAAATTGAAATGTACCATTTCACACCCATAAGGTTGACAGAAATTTTAAAGTCTGATAATTGTGGGAAGTGGAAACTCCCATATACTGCTGGCAAGAGTATAAGATGATACAATCCCTTTGGGGAGCATTTTGGCAACAGCTAGTAAATTTGAAGATGCACTTAACTCTGACCCAGCAGTTCCCTCTCTGGATGCCTGCTCTAGGAAATCTTTACCTATGTGCATATGTAGTCACATACCAGAACAATCATTACAGCGTTATTTGAAATAGTGAGAGAATGGAAACAACTCTGTTTTAGTCAGGGAATTCATAAAATGCATTCTAACTTGTTCATGAAAATGGACTATTATACAGCAATTAAATAAACTTGAATCTACATGATTGAACAGGAACAAGTCTTAGAAATATAATTGTATAAAAAGAAAGTTGCAAAAGAACACATACAGCATACTGCTTATAAAAAAAGATATGAAATGTTAGAAAAACCTTTATGAACCTTTTATGAAAACAGTGGTATTTGATGTTATATATGCATACACATACATCCTAGTTGTACACAGTGTGCAGGGAAATGACACATACCAACTTCAGGACAGCTCAGGGAGCACATGGGAAGGACTGACAGGAAGTTAGGGCCTTAATTGAACATGTGACCATGTATGTATATCCTTAAAGAGGGGGAAAAAAGGGAGACCTGAAAGGAATCCGGCAAAAGTTAAATAAACAAATAAGGATGCGTCTAATACAATTGTCTCTGATTCTGTATGTATTTAAAATGTTTAATAGTTGGTAGTTCTTTTTGAAATATGAAAAAACCTTCAGAAAAGAAAAAAGAAGGGAAAAAAACCCTTCCAAAACAGCTTCAAAAAGATGAAAACCTTTTTCTGTCAATAACTATAGTCAGGATTCACAAACCATGTCATTTTTATGCATTGCTGTATCTAAAATCTTGATACTTACCAACAACTCAAGAAAAATAGGCCTAATTTCCTTATAAGCAACGCTAGTTTTCTTTAAGTCCAATAATTGTGTTTAAATAAGGAAGCTGCCAGAATTTATTATGAAGTCCTAAAATCCTAATGATCATGGGTGGCAATCAAAATATCCTAAATTTGTCTGATTTCACCCTAGAAAACAGTTAAACTTCCTAGAGTGAGATAATAATTACTAAGACTACACAGTAAAATGTGTATCTAGTGTTGCTACTAGAACTACCATCCTTAGGGAAGGTGGATGTTTGATTTTTGTCATGGAATGTCCAAATTCCTGGGTAGCGTGATTGTTGGACACAGTGCAGGAAAAATTGAGATCCTGGAGCATCCTGTTCCCCAACCAGACCTCTCTTTGGAACGTTTCTGGGCCCTCTGCCCCAGAGAAGTGTGAGATGGCCTCTTCACTGGGTCCTTGTTTTACTGTAGGCTAGAAAGTTTGCAAAGACTCTCTGAGTCTGTTTTAAATACAAATCTTCGCATCCATCTGCCTGACAGGGGTAACTCCATTTCAGATGTGGATTTGGGAGCAAGGGAGTAGTTGAGTGGGGAGAGGCAAGATGTAGTTGAAAAATTTTTTGGTTTTATTTCATTGCTTTGTCTTGAATATTTTAATGACAGTTACCACCCAAAGTCAGATGTCCAAAGAATTATCTTAATGCTTTTCCCTCAAGGCACACACAACCAAAGGTAAACTGATCTGTAGATTTGCCTCAGTATTATGGTGAACAACCTATACTTTTATTATCTGGGACAAATAATTCATTGTATACCCCATTAATTTACTTTATGTGATGAGCATCTTAATTGCCTCCTTAGGAGCCCAGGAATTTGATTAGAAGGTGTGATTTTAAAAATAAATCAATGAAAGAAGATCATGAATATTTTATTCCCTAACCATATTTTTCGATATCATTAGCATAGTGGCTGATAAAAGGTTGAAACCAGCAGGAGCCAAAAACTGTTAATGTACTTAGACCTTTTGAGTGGTTTTCCATTGTATTTGGCTGCCTACTGGAAACTGCATGACAAATTAAGAAGATATTCAATTGTTTTCATTCTACTCTGGAACATTTATTTTTACTGCAAAAATTCTTGATCCTCAAGGCTTAGAATATTAAAGTATTTCTTGCTTTCCTGAGAGTAAGCCAATATTGAATTATTCTAATAATGTCTCTATTTGTTCAATAAATTGTCAAATAATATAATTAGAATGCTCAGAGAACCTAAAAATTACTTTTACATAAACAGCCTACATTTCAGCACACACTGGTTCTTAGCTTTATCCTTTACCCACATATTTCCTCATCTTACCAAAATAGTTCGTTATGTTACATATCAGAACAAAATTATTTGAGTTCGTTTTCTCTTCCTTTACTCCCACTTCCTATACCAATTAGTCTTACACAAGAGCATTGATGCATTTAAATTCACAAATCAGGCCCTAATTTAGAGCCCATGCAAAGCAAGCCCTATAGGAATAAACAATCTGTGTACATGAAGTCAACTTCCTATCTATCCTTAGTACAAATAGTATTAAAAAGTTAGATAATGTTAGAATATACATGGGCACTTGAGAAATTAGTTCTTTCTGTTCTTTCTCCCTCCTCTGCTCCCAGGAAAAAGCGTTTTGGCTTCCTTTTGGCCATTCAGAAGCCTCGGTATAAGGCAGCAGGGCAGAGACATACACTGGACCATATTGTTCTGACTCTCAATTCAGCATCAGTCCTTTCAGCTGCCATTATTTTGTCCATTTCAGGAAACTTCTATGGAACTCCCAAGCCTCCAGCAGAACCCAGCCCTTTCCAGCCAGATCCAGTTGACCAGGTCCTCTTCGATAATGAGTTTGACACCGAATCCCAAAGAAAGCGAACTACGTCCGTCAGCAAGATGGAAAGAATGGACAGCTCTCTTCCGGAAGAGGAAGAAGATGAGGACAAGGAAGCTGTTAATGGCAGTGGAACTGCAGGTTTGTAAACAGATGAACAAATTCTAACTGATCTTCCGGGTTGACTTGAACATGACACTGAACTGGAAGTGGTAAAACCTCTCTCAGAGCATGTGTAGAGCGAGTGATGCAATTCTAATTATTTTTAAGAGCTTGTGTGTGGAACGAAGTGTATCCCTGTCAACCACCGTATAAGGTGAAGTGAGGTTGCACCAAGTGGCAGTTTTGATAAGTCTGTAATAACTTCTCATTAGTAAAAACATAACATTCCATGATCCCTCTGCTTAAAAGATTTGAGGTTCCAAGATACAAGAATCTTGTTAGCCTAAGTCACACTTTACAGGATATGGACAAAATACAGTTTTAAGATATAACCTTCAACTAAAACTGCAGAGGGTTAGAAATATGCCAGTAAAAATTATCTGAAAGATTTGTTAGCACTATGTTGAGTTTAAATTCTGAATCACTCAAAAAAAATTTTCCAAACCTGACTCTCTTATTTTTCATTAAATGCAAAACCAACAAAAATTTAGTGGTGAAGAATCTTCCTTTGAGTACCCCTAAAAAATGTGGTGTTTGCTCAGGAGATTCTTACCCTTCTTCTTCTTTTTTTTAAACTTTATTTATTCATGAGAGCCGGGGGTGGGAGGTGGGGGTAGGGAGAAGCAGGCTCCCTGCTGACCAGGGAGCCTGATGCGGGGCTCCACCCCACCGACCCTGAGATCATGACCTGAGCCGAAGGCAGACGCTTAACCGACTGAGCCACCTGGGCACCCCGATTCGAACGCTTCTAATTGAGAATATAAGTAGGAAGCTACAGAATCACAGCAGAACTAATTTCAGCGCTATTTTTATAACATGTTTATTCAAAACACTAGAATATGAACTTCATGAGGGCTGGAAGTTTTGCTTTTGTTCATTGCTGTACCCCTTGCACCATAAACAGTGCCTGGCACAAAGTAGGAACGAAAAGAATATTTTATTAATACCCAAAAAATGAATGACTTTGATTACATCCCCAAATTTGTAGAACCCATTACCATATTATTTTCCCAAACCATCTGATGTTTTCTTTCATCGGCTACTAAAATTTGCTGTGTATATTGTATTTACTGTCTTACTTACATCCACATTTCTGCCCTCCTCCAGAGTGGGAGTCCTGTCTTATAGTCCTAACACCTCACATAGTTATGATACATAATATGTTTGGTGTTAAGTTAATTACTCCTGTATACTTGGGTGTAGAGACTGAGAAAGGCCTAAAAGGTTTAGGTGAATTCACATCTAATTCTTCAGGGGCTGGTAAGGGAAATTGTCATACAGTAGAGCCTTTTGATATTGATGTCAGCTTTGTTTTCCCACAGAATTAAGTCTGTTAACATTTTTAAATGTTTAAGACTGGAATTACAGACCATGAATCTGTCCCAGTGTGGGAGTTTATATATTCTTATTTTGAGGGGGGGAAAATGTTCTGTTTTTACTTCCTAATGCAGATCTTCTCAGTGACCACTGCAGTTCCTTCAGAGGGAAACCTCTCTGTGCTCCCCATAGCTTTATGTTTGTCATGTAAGCCAGTTGTTAAACCAGACATTACTAACTTTTTGACGTTAACATTTAAAGGGAGTGTATCCGAGAGTGGGAGGCAGTTTGTATACTACCTCTTGTGTGTGGATACCATAGGGCACTTCCACTGTATTATATATTTCTTTGTAAGAGAAAATATTCGGACTATTTTAAGGAAAAAGAAAACAGTAAAAGACAGGACTAATAGCCCTTGGTTTTTTCTGAATAAGTACTAACTCTAGTTGTTAACTTCTTGAAAGTTGTGGAGATAGGCTTTTTGTGTTGCTTTTGGGGACTAGAATTCCTGCCTTGAAAAATCAGAAAATTGTTGGGGATGGAAGTGGTGAGGGGATAGTTAAAGATTTATTTGTATCCCCAATATGTATATTATTTTATATCTTGCTGAAGAATTCATGTGAGAATGCTAATACGCCCATGTAGGATGACATATGTTATATAATAATGCTAAAATTTTTTTCCAAGTATTGGTTGTTACATAAACTGTATTTTCAAGTCATTGACTATTAAGCGAACTCTTTTACACAGTTATTTCAAACTATGTTCAGAAAAGTATGAGACATCATAGAGTTGCTTTTGTTTTCCTCCAACATACTTCTGTCCCAAGATTGTAACTCCCTTCCAGATTGATTTACACATTGGGTGCCTTTTAATTTCTGTCACTTTTTTGCCTGGAGAATGAATCGTGGGTTTTATTCTAGCTATGCATTCAACAAATATTTATTGAGCACCTGCTAGGCTAGTAAGTGCTGGCATTTTTCTAACAGCTAAGAATAAAGCACTGAACAAAACAGACAAAAACTCTGGTCTTCATGAACTTTGCCTTCTAGTGGGAGAGAAAAAAATTATCCAACATGAATGAATAGCATATGATATATTAGAGAGTGCTAAAGAAAAACAAAGCAGAGAAGGAGCGAGATAAAAAGTAGTGGCTTTTAGATAGAGTGGCAGAAAAGATCTCACTGAGAAGAAGACTTTGAAAGAAGCGATGCTGTAAACCCAAAATATCTGGGAGGAGAACATTCCAGCCAGAGGGAATTTTAAGTACAAATGCCCTGAGGTGAGAGCATGCCTGGAATACTCAGACAAAGGCAAGGAAACAATATAGTTGGATACAACGTGGACAATGCATTATATATGGTTGGAGCAGAGTGATGGAAGGAAATAGAATAGTAAACAATGAGGTCAGTCAGATAATGATTGGGGGTGTGTGGAAATGCATTTATGTTATGTAGGATCTTATATATCGTTGGAAGAATTTTGCTTTTTAAAAGAAGAATTTTGCTTTTTATTCTGAGATGAGAAACCATTATAGGGTTTTGAGTAGGAGAGTAACCTGATAAAATGGATTTTAATAGGCTCATTCTGGCTACTGAATTGAAAATAGGCAGTAGAATGGCAGGCATAAATAGTGATACTAATTAAGAGGTTATTGCAGTAATTTATGTGAGAGATAGTGGTTTGGACCTGATGAAAGTGTGACAAGAAGAAGTGGCCTGAGCCAGTAACATTTGCTGACAGACTGGATTTGAGGTCCGCGAGCGCAGAGTCAAAGATCACTTCAAGGGTTTTAACCTGAGTATCCAGAAGAATGGAGTTGCTTTTAGTGAGATGAGGTAGATTGTAAGAGGAGTCAGTTTGGATTGGAAAAGGGTAGTAGGAGCTCCAGTTGGGATATTTAAGCTTGAGATGCTCATTAGACATCCAAATGCAAATGTCCTGTTTGAAGTTGGATTTAAAAGTCGATGTCTGGTCTGAAGATGCATATTGGGACATCATCAGCATAAAACTTGCAGAGCAGTGACACTCAATGAGATCACCAAGAAAGTAACTCTAGAAAGAGAAGAGAAAATGTCCAGAGACGGAACCCTGAGAAGACCCTCTACTACGTGGAGCTCAGGGAGACTGAGAAGAGCCCGTGAGATAGAAGGCACACAGGAGGGTGGAGGGGCCCAGAAGCCAGGGGAAGAGAATGATCAGCTATGTCAGATGCCACCGATAAGTCAGATAAGATAGCCACTGAGAACTGATCATTGGATTTAGCTATGTGGAGGAGACAGGGTCATCCAGTGAGATTAGGGCTGAGGGAGAAGTAATGGTAGATTTAAGAAGAAAAGTATGAAGGAGTTATCCAGGGGAGTGTCCGAGTGAACGGACTAAAGGAATTTCCTGTGATTATCATATACCATTAAATGCCCTCTTGTGGTTAGTTATCAGCTACATGTGCCTCCGTAGAGTAGGTGGAGAGATATAAGCAGACTTCTGCCTCAGCCGGGCACGTATGCTGAAGTAAGGTTGAGGCAAAAGACCCAGTAGTGTTTGCAAGGGAGCGACGATCATGGCTGATCACGGAACTTAAGTTGCCTGAGTAGGACAATGAGGACATGGCGAGGGCCCAGATGGGGGGTGAGGGACGGTGAAGGGTAGTAAGTAGCTGTATTAATGGGTTCTAGAACTTGATTGGATAAAGGACAGTGAGAGTGGAAGTACTGTATGTAATGATATCTAAGGCGTCTTCTAAGATTCTCTGATTCCTAGACATTGCCCGCAGTCTGGAGTTGTCGTAAGTTCAAAGTGCAGGAATTGTGAATTCCCTAGATGGTAACCAAATTTTAGTATTCTTACCTACGTCGTGGACTCTGGGACTCTCGAAGGATTGTGGTATCACCAACAGAGAATTATACTTAACGACAGAAAGTCTATTGAGCGTAATTTTTAAAAACTAGTATTATGTTAAAGGCCTTTGTTAAATATGTGTGAGACAGGTTGGTAGAGCAGTTCAGAGTGTGGACCACCTAGATTTGAATCCTGACTTTGTGTTATCAGCTGTGTGACCTTGACTAAATTAACCTCACTGTGCCTTAGTTTCTTCATCCATAATCTAAAAAACATAAGAGTAATAATAAATCATCACAGGGCTGCTGTGAGGATCATGAGTTCCTATATGTAAAGTGCTCCAAGTAGAGCCTGGCCCATGAAAGGACCGTGTAAGCGGCCCTGCAGACGTTGCTGTCAGTCGTACACTAACTGATACATATTCACAATATTCCCAGTTGATCCCAGTGTTGCTTGTCGCTTCTTTCCCAGACTGGCGTCAGAGGTCCTGTGACTGGGTTAATGTCACTTAGCAGATGAAAAAAATTCAGTATGTCTCTTTGTTACCTCAAAAATGATAGCAGAACAGGGTGCCTGGGTGGCTCAGTTGGTTAAGCGACTGCCTTCGGCTCAGGTCATGATCCTGGAGCCCCGGGATCGATTCCCGCATTGGGCTCCCTGCTCGGCGGGGAGTCTGCTTCTCCCTCTGACCCTCCCCCCTCTCATGTGCTCTCTCTCTCTCATTCTCTGTCTCTCAAATATATAAATAAAATTTAAAAAAAAATGATAGCAGAACGTGGACATAACACACATGGAAGTTTGCAATAAGTGTTTGTCATTTTGTTGGAAACGAAGAGAGCTCTTTGAAGGGAGTGTAACTTTACCTGCTTCGCACGCTGCTCTGTGTTCAATGGCAGAAAACGGAGAGAGGCGTTCTGAGTCATCTGATTGGATGAAGACTGTCCCGAGTTATAACCAAACTAATAGCTCCATGGACTTCAGAAATTATATGATGAGAGATGAGAATCTGGAACCACTGCCCAAAAACTGGGAGATGGCCTACACCGACACGGGGATGGTCTACTTCATTGAGTAAGCAAATGTCTGTATCTCTCCTAACACGCCCTGTCACTGTGAGGCTTGGCTTACCATTGCTTTATCCTCATTCACAAGGCTTCCGTTTCTTTTGTCTTTCTTTAAAAAATTTTTTCATAACAAGTAACAGTTGATTCTTTAATCTGATGATTTCCCTGGATGATATTTCGTTTTTATTTGACTTGAATAAAGGACTTCTGGTTTTATAAAAACAGGAGGATTAAAAACAGTTTTATCACTAATCATGAAAAATGTAGGCATGGAGGGTATTTTGCCTTGATGTTTTTTTAAACTTTTGATAGATTGTCCAACTTATTGAACATTTCAAGAATTACCATCCTGTGGAGGGAGGGCATATGTATTATCTGAGCTGAATATTTTCAGTTCTAGATGTATTCAGGCAATACAGTTGAATAATATAGGAGGGAAATATCACTGATCCTCAGACTCATTGGTACAATATAAATTGACAAACCCTAATTTATGAGAAAGAGCTATTAATGTAAATATAAATATAGAGATATAGAATACCACGTGTATTTGATCAACCTAAAATTTTATATGGTTTACACCAGAGAATAATAATATGCCAATAATTTTTTGGAAGTTTCATTATGAAGCATTTTTATATTCTTATGCAACTATAATTCTCATCTTTTAAAATAATTTCCACAGAGGCAGAATATGAGTGTAGTGAAGTTACAGAATACAACAGGTAAATAACAATTAAAATATTGAGGGCTGGACACTACAGTCAAGGAATACACACTTAAAAATGAGTTAGGGGTGGGAGACTTGAATCTGTTTCCTCACTTGGTCCCAAGTTCCACATCTTTCCCATAGAGTGAGCATCTTGCTTTACCAAGTGGAATTACAGTATTTGAAAGACATAGATTTTGTGTTAATTTTATTCTTTTTACCATACATGGTACAGTGTTGATTATATTATACATGTACATAAACATTAATGACATGGATTTTGCAAAACAGACAAAATTAGGTATACTCTTGGTAATTTAGACTTTTGGCTTTCATTCTCATTTCAGTACTAAATCCCCAAGTAAAGTATGGAGTCATCAGAAGTGGCTAGAGTATCTTCAGAAGCAGAGTATGAGACATTGAACCTGATAGTGCTTTATCCTGTAAATGGGGATAGGTTAGTAAATTGTAGAGAGAGGAGAGAATTTATAAAAGAAATGCCTTTAGAGTTGAACGTTATTAAAATGCATTAAAGACCTAGATATAAGACCTGAAACCATAGAACTCCTAAAAGAAAACAGAGGGGCAAAATTTCATGGCATTGAATTTGGCAGGGACTTCTTGGATACAGAAACTACAGGCAACAAAAACAAAAATAGACAAACAGGACTTCATCAGACTTAAAAACTGTGCAGCAAAGGGAAGCACTCAATGAGTGGAAAAACAGCCGGGAGAATAGGAGCAAATATTTGCAAACCCATATCTGATAAGGGGTTTATAACCACAATATAGCTGAATAGTATTTGCTGCTGTAGCTAATGTATTTGATCTGTGTTACTACTGCTGTTAAATCACGCATCTGTAAGAAAATAGGTTTGTAGCCTTCAGCTATTATGTTTTGGGTATAGCCCCTATGGACATTTCTTTACCTTGGGAAATACTGGGTAAAATCCTAGTAGATTGCCTACATCTGCTAATTTAGCAATAAAAATTTTGGAGCATTGGAACCAAAGTTAAGCTTTTCTCAAGTAGCAATTTTGAATTTGGTTTAGCAAGATACATGCATGTTTGTTTGTTTTTTTTTCTAACAGTCTGCATGCTACTAAGCCTCTTTGGAGTCCTGATCCTTTTCCTGTTGCTAAAATCCATTTAACGGGCTTGAGTGTGGAGAAATTATCACTTTGACAGAATGGATAACACAGACTTTCTAGAAACAATCCCAGTTTCTCCTATGCAGGTTATCCATTATTCAGCATACAGAAGTGTTTCTACCAGTCTACCAGCTAGTATTATACCTGGCAATGTGTAAGAAGGGGTTGCAATGGCCCTAAGTAGCTCAGGAGTTAGAAAAGGCGTAGAAGGTATGATTAATTCCCTGAAACCATTGGCTTAATTTCCTAAGAATTAATTATATAAAGGATAGGGAGTTTATCTCATGATAAAAACACCAATGAATGATATTTTTTATTCACGTTATTCTCACTCTACTTTGATAATAACTTTAATTTACATTTTGTTGTCTTCCGGTATATTTTCCTCCATGGTGTTTTCTTTCTTTAATATCCTCATATTTCAGATGTTTGTACTATACCACTGTCTACTCAGCAGTGTGATGGCTTTGTTTCCACATTGGTATCTACTGCATGGTGACACTGCTCCTTGAAGCATCTGTTGCCTGCTTCATAAAAAGGAGTGTGTGTGAGGGGCGGGGGGGGGGGGGGGGGGGGGGGGGAGGCTTTTGGGTCTGCCTTCTTTTTTTCATTCAGTATATGATCCATAGTTTGTAGAGTAGACTTTAACTGTACCCATCATTTTTACTTTCATGCTGCAGAAATAGATACTTGAAGACTTTTTATTTTATGAAACTTTCATTTTAAAGAACCCTTTTGAGGGCAGGGGAATCTGTTTAGCACTATATCGCCAGCCGTCAGCACACAGTGCCACACATCACAGGTACTCAAGAAATAGAGTGTTTTTTGAAGGGAGGGAGGAAGGAATTCAGCCAGCACCAAACCAAGTTTTCAAGGCAGCTTTTTCAACTGGATAATGCACAGTATGGGGCTATGTGCCCAGCCCACCCTTTGAAATATTTTTGACTGCTTAAGTCAGTGTCTGTTATTCTGTACTTGGCATTTTACCCCTTCTTTTAGCGTCTTCTTTCTCAGATTAGTGCCTCTAGGATTACCTTCCCTGTATGGCAGTTTTGAAGGAGCAGATTGAGAACAATAGGATTATTGAATCAGAGGTGTGCAAACAGAGCCTGTAGGAGATAAATGTGCAGACATCATATACCTTTCAGTCACTTTTAATCTTTGCTTTTGAAATACTTTCCTCCCTCTTTATTTTACTGTTTCTAATTGAAATCTTTATTCTGCAGCCACAATACCAAGACAACCACCTGGTTGGATCCTCGTCTTTGTAAGAAAGCCAAAGCCCCTGAAGACTGTGAAGACGGAGGTAGAGATTCAGAAATCTTTTATACTGTACTTATTCACTTAATCCTTCTTGTTTTTCTTGCTTGAATAGTGAGTTTTCCAAAATCCTAAACAAACCATAATGTGCATAAGCACATAAGCAGTGGGTGGATATCATATTCAGCTGACTCTTCACAATTGTGTCATTGCATCTAATTTTATGAGAGACTTTATTTCTCTTTTTGAGAATTATACAATGAAATCCTTGTTAAGAGTCTTAATAAAAATGAATTGTCCTTTTTTCACATTCGTTTTAAAGAAAAAGTTTTCAATTTCTAAATAAATATTTTAATAAATTAGATACATTCTTAACCACAGGGTAGCCTCATCATGGCTATTGAACCTTCAAAAATATATTTAATTTAGTATCACGAGGATGGATTTGTTAGTATTTATGGCTATTCTTTCATTTAGAGCATCAGTAGAAACTGAGTGAAAGTCTCTAATATATCCCACCCCCCACCCCACCCACACACAGTTTTTACTGCCTAGTAGAAAAATTTCTCTAAGAATTTTTAGGTAATAATGCTTGTCTATCTTATGTATTATATAGTTTTTAATAGTATAGTCTTGCACATATATATAGACTTTACCCCAACCAAAACTGTTTGCTATGCCTTCTTGAATATAGAGTGAAGATGAAGAAAATTTGCATTCATTTTGTATCACCGTATCAGAAATTATTTACCTTGGTTAAAAATGAATGGCTGCGAATGAGTTTCAGATAGTCCTCCAATAGGTTGAACTCCAATCTATTAAAAAAATTAAACAATTTATATATTTTGTTCAGCATGACTGCAATATTAAGAATTTTTCTAGGAACAACCAATTGGAAAATGGAATTATTTTAAAATTGTTTGCAGTGATATAAAAAAATTAGATACCTTGGAGCAAATTCACTGAAAGGTGCACAGATCTACTGAAAGATGCACAAGACACACTGAAAACAACAAAATATCCCTGAAAGAAATTAATGAAGACTTGAAATAATTGAGGAGATACACTGTGTTCACAGATAGAATGACACAGTATCGTTAATGATGTTCATTTTCCTTAAATTGATATCTAGATTTAGCACAATCCCAATCAAAATCCTCTAAGTCTATCTTGAAGAAATTGATGAGCCAATTCTAAAATATATATAGCTCCAGTTAGCCAGATAGTCTTTTAAAAGGACAGAGGTAAAGGGTGTAGACTACCAGATTTGAAGAGTTACTATAAAGCTCAGTAACCAAGACAGTGTGGCATTGACATAAGAATAGATAAGTAGAGGGCGCCTGGGTGGCTCAGTTGGTTGGGCGACTGCCTTCGGCTTAGGTCATGATCCTGGAGTCCCAGGATCGAGTCCCGCATCGGGCTCCCTGCTCAGCGGGGAGTCTGCTTCTCCCTCTGACCCTCTTCCCTCTCATGCTCTCTATCTCTCATTCTCTCTCTCTCTCAAATAAATAAATAAAATCTTAATAATAATAATAAAATAAATAACAAGGCTCACTTTAGATTTAAAAAAAAAAATAGACAAGTAGATCACTGGAACAGAATAGAGAATCCAGAGATAGATGCACACATATGTAATCACTTAATCTACAGCCCAGGTGCCAAATCAGTTCAATGAGAGGAGGAAGATCTTTAACAAATGGTGCTGGAAGAACTGGGTGGATATTCGTAAGGAAAAATGAACTTCAACTGTACCTCACTCCATACACAAATTAATTTCAGGTGGATCAAAGACCTAACCATAAAAGCTAGAACCCTAAAGCTTTTAGAGGAAAATTTAGGCGAATATCTTCATAATTTCAGGATTAGCAAAGATTTCTTAGGCCACAGAAAGTGTGAACCATGAAAGAAAAACTTGATAAATTGGACTTAATAAAAATTTTAAATTTTTATTCATCAAAAGACACCATTAAGAAAATGAAGAGACAAAGTCGTAGGGCATGTGATATGTATCTGACAAAGGAATTATATCCTGAATCTATAAAGAATGGTTATAACTCATTAACTAGAAGACAAACAACCAAATTTTTAAATGGGCAAAATATTTAAATAGACATTTCACCAAAGAAGATCTGCAAATGCCCAATAACCACTAGAGAAGATACTTAACATCATTAGTTATTGAGGAGATGTGAATTAAAACCACAGAGAGACGCCACCTTATATCCACGAGAATGACTATAATCAGAAAAGACAGATAATAACAAATGTTGGTGAGGATGGGAAGAAATGGTAACCCTGGTACAGTGCTGGGCAGAATATAAGATGGTACAGCTGCCTTGGAAAACAGTTTGGCAGTTCCTTAAAAAGTGAAATACAAATTTACCCTATCACCTAACAATTCCACTCCCCAGTCATCTACCCAGGAGGAATGAAAACATATGTCCACACAAAGACGTGTCTGTAAATATTCATAGAATCACTATTCAAAATAGCCCCAAAGTGGAAACAGCTCAAATGTCCACCAACTAATGAATGGTTAAACAAAATGTGTAATCATCCAGTGGAATACTAGTCAGCAATAAAAAGGAATGAAATAGTTTACGTACTACAACATGAGCAAATCTCAGTGTGTTGTGCTAAGTGACAGACACTAGACACAAAAGACCAGCTACTACAGGATTCCATTTGTATGAAATGTCTGGAATAGGCAAATCTATAGAGACAGAAGGGCAAATCAGTGGTGGTTGCCCAGTGGTGAGGATGGGAATAGAGATTAAATCACATGAGGGATCTTATTGGGGCGATATAAATGTTCCCAAACTGGATGTGGTGATGGTTGCACAACCCAGTAAATTATTAAAACTCCTTGAATTGAACACTTAAAACATTAATTTTATGATATGCAAAATATACCTCAATAAAGTTGTTTTTCCAAAATGGCCAAAGAACTTGGCCACTTCACCAAAGAAGACAGAGGACTAGACAGGAAGGACATGAAAAAGGTGTTCATGATCATTAGCCATCACTACAGTGAGAGGCATTCACATTCCCTGGAAGGGCTGGAGTCGAATACGCTGAGAGCACCAAAGACAGGGGAGACTGTAGAGCAGCTGCAACTTTTACTAGTTGGTGGTGATGTGACATTACGTGAACATTTTGGAGAGCTTTTGGCAGTTGCCCATGAGGACTTGTCTCGAGAAACGAAAACACACGTTCCCAAAAAGACTCCACCTGAATGATACGACAGCCGTATTCATAACTCAAACCTGGAGACATTCCAAATACCCATCCACAGAAGAATGGATAAACGATTTTTGGTATATTCATGCAGTGAGATACTAACTCATCAGTAAAAAGAAAAAAACTGTTGATAACACTCAACAATCTCAGAAACTTGCTGAATAGAAGAAGCCAGACACAAAAGAATGGGTACTCACTTAGCCGTTAAAGTCCGAGAACAGGGAGACTCGTCTATGCTGATAGAAGTTGGAAAATGAGGCGGGGAAGGGGGAAGTGAGTGAATTGAAATAACTCTCTGGAATGATGAATATATTCTCCGCCTTGTTTGGGGTGGCAGTTAGGAAGGCACATGCAATTGCCCACACTCATTTTTTTCTTTTATAACTGAACGAGCACTTAAGATCTCTTGTATTTTGTTGGATGTTAATAACATACCGCCCTTGTCTATAAGGCTTTCATCATTAAGTTCCGTATGGTGAAATCAGCTACTGTCAAGGTAAACTAGAATATGTAATACCAGATAATTTGACTTTTTTAAGCCTGTGAATGTGGTGTTAGCCTTCACAGGCACGTCGCTCTTGCTGGTCTTCATGCCTTTTCCTGCACACTGATCCTTCCAGTTCACTTCTCTGCCTCTTCCTGTTTTCCCCTCACAGAATGAATTTATTGCCAGAGCTCTAATTATTAATTTACTATAGCTGGCCCATTATTGAATCTCTAGTATTGTCCTGTTTTGAATTCTGTAATACATAACTTGTATTAACTTTATCTCCATAAATTAAAAACACGTAGAGACTTTAAAAAAAAAAATTGCCCTAGTAGCCCTTCTAATACACTTGTTTAAAACTCACTGACATCTTTCTTCTAAAGTCACCCCATCCCCATCCCTCTTTCTGGCACAGGTACCATGCTCACAGTCCTCTGGGCCAGGTGATCGGAGGCAGATTTGCTGCTTCTTCCTCTCCTCTTGCTCTGTTCCCTATCCAGTTCCCAATCCCCATTGCTTTTTCTTTTTTTGCCAATATATTAGTATGAAAATTTTCCAATGTATAGGAAAATTGAGAGAACTTGATAGTAATTTGCCCACCACTGAGATATTACAATGAACATTTTGCCATTTTGGCTTTCTCACGTAGCTGTCTATCCGTATGCTTTTATATCTTTTAGATCTTTTTTCTTTTAAATCTTCCTCCATCCCTCCAGTCACCACAGACTTGAAGTATCCTTGGTGCTCTTGTCCTACAGTCATTTCTTCTCCTTTAGTATGTTCTGTGTGCTGGGGATCTCCAAAATGATGGTGCTCAAATTATCTATTGATGTACAGGAAGAAAATGTTAGAACTTATTTTGCGTAACGTTCCTACTGGGAAAAAAAATGGAAGTTTCTTTACTATTTTGCATACAGATTGACAATGCGTTCTTTTTTATTCTGTATGTCAGATGATCACGTACAGCACCCAGAGTGTCTTGAGGGAAAAGTGGACGTAGCACCGTTACTTTTGTCAAGGGCACTGTAAAGTTTTACGGTTCACTTGTGCCCAGTTAAGGGGATATATAGACTTTGTAACTTCGTTTTTAATTCATACACGACTGAAATGTGGCTTAAAAAGATTTCTGCAAAGATACTGCCTGTTGAACATAATACAAATATGCAAGCCCAAGCGAACAGTAAGTAAACAGCAGAGAGCTGATGCTTCACATACCTCATGTGAGCTTTTTAAAACCACATTGATGTAAAATTGATAATTGTTCATTTCGTCTTTATCTCCTTTTTTATTCTGCTTTGTGTATGCTTTATTATGTACAT